TGCAAACATCGTCGGCCACTTTGCCACCCCACCTGAGGACAACTTCCATTGCCAAGAGGGAAGAAATGCAGACCCACATCTTCGATACCCTGGCTGAAGATCGCAGCCACCTTCCAGTAATATCTGTGCACTTGTTCCAAAAATGCCAAGAGGACCTGCTCTGAACCCTCAGTCTTTGGAGACCCTGGTGCAAGGACACCCTCCCACTGCAGCCAGCAGGATGGAGGGCTGTCACCCCCCTCCCTCCATACCATAGATATGGGGACCATACCATAATGAGCAGCACACACAGGATGGACAGGTGATGAACCCTTTGCTTTGGACAGCATGTGTCACTCAGCAAGACCGAGATGTCCCCTTGCTCCAAGGACTACATTTGCAATTCCTGCAAAGTCCTTCAAGTTCACTAAGTCCTTTAGGTTCTTTAGGTTCTTCCCTGTGAGGGTGCTGAGGCGCTGGCACAGGGTGCCCAGAGAAGCTGTGGCTGCCCCATCCCTGGCAGTGTTCAAGGCCAAACCTGGGCACAGGGGCTGGGAGCAACGTGCTCTAGTGGAAGGTATCCCTGCCCGTGGCAGGGATTGGAACTGGATGAGCTTTAAGGTCCCTTCCAACCCAAACCATTCCCTGATTCTATAAAACCCTCCATCTAAGACATATGCAACATTCTGCCAGCTCAGCATGTGGCATAAAGCAACTGGAATCTACCAACAGCATCACATTGACTGCCCATCCTCTCTTGTCCTCTCTATCATACTTAGATATGGTCATCTTAGACTGTCATCTCTTGTCCTCTATGATAGAGAATTAAGCAGACCAAACAAACCCCACACCAGCTGGTAAGAGGTAAGTATCCCAAGTGCAGATGAAGCTCCTAAGCAGGGAGGTGAGCCCGCTCTGGAGGTCACCACCTAGCAAGCACTTCTTTCTCTCCCCCTTTCCTTTCTGCAGGCTGCTTCTGTACTCCACGTATCCCACACACACCCCCTCCAACCTCTCCAGTCTTAAACATTAAGCAGTTAAAATATGTTTTCTAATAAACACTTTCTATGCTTAGAGCCTATTACTAGGTCTTTCCTACAATAACCTAAGGCAGCTGAGCCTCTCCCTGTGCTTCCTCGGCTCGCCACGCACCCATCAGCCTCCTGGTAAGGTTTTAATAAGTGTCACTGTCTCATCTCCTGCCTGGATATCAAAGGCACTGGGATAAAAGTGAGCTTAACTGCAGCCATCCTGAAATCTGCGGTGCTGAGGGGAGCCTGGAGCTCAGTCTACATCAGAGAAAAGAGCTTGACGGGGCCATCACGGGTGGGGGGTTTGCCCTGTCAGAGCCTTGAGGAGTCAGTTGTTATCAGGAAGAAGGCAAAAAGAAAAGCTCAGTTTGCTTTGGAGACACTTACTGAGGAGCTACACGTGGATCAGTGATGCTTTGAGAGGTGATGGACGCAACAAAGGCCAGGAGACCGGTTCTGGAGAGCATCCTTAGGTGCATTTGGAAAACCAACCACACGACCACAACTTCCCTAGTGAAAATGAAGGCCATGGTCCTTCAAAACCCATCCTGGCTCCCAGCATGAGGAAAGCAGTAAACACTGGGATGGGGAAATGGAGTGCACCAACCAGAAGCTCACGGTAACAATGCCAACAGCCTGGAGAGGCGTTGATGAGGAATCTATGGTGAGTACGATTAAGGCTGCATAAAGGAGGGTTCTCTACAGAAACCAGAAGCAGAGGACATCTGAGGCATTCTAAAGACCACTGTCAGGTAGGGATGGACTGTTTCAGCTTTCAGCACAACCATCCAGGGAGCTGCATGGATCCCAAAGCTATGCTATGCCATGCCTTGCCACTTCAGCATGTACTCTCTACAGCGTCTACTACAAGGAGGACATCAGACTTGAGGACACTGACACAGCTTTCACCACAACATTGACCCTGAGGTCCACTTTTCAGACTGCAATACACCCCGTGTCCTGAAACAGTGCACACCAAGGGGCTATGTGTGTATCCTGCCTGTGGTCTACGGTGCTCCACACACTGAAACCACTTCACAACACAATGCAGTGAGGTCTCCTGGGTCATCCTTGCAAGCTTGTACCTGCCCAGAATGAAGGTGGGCTTTGTCAGGGTTCATACCACAGGTGGAAGGCTTCACCTGAGGTCCAGCCCCATGTGGTCCTCCACTCAAGCAGATTATGACAAGGCGAGGATGAGGAGGCTCATTTCACCTCGTAGTATCTAAAGGGCTACAAGAAACACGGAGAAGGGCTTTAGACAAGGGCCTCTAGGGACAGGACAAGGGGAATGGCTTGAACCTGCCAGAGGGGAGATGGAGATGAGCTCTGAGGCAGAAGCTCTTCCCTGTGAGGGTGCTAAGGCGCTGGCACAGGGTGCCCAGAGAAGCTGTGGCTGCCCCATCCTTGGCAGTGTTCAAGGCCAGGTTGGACACAGGGGCTTGGAGCAACCTGCTCTAGTGGAAGGTGTCCCTGCCCGGGGCAGGGGCTGGGACTGGATGAGCTTTAAGGTCCCTTCCAACACAAACCAGGCTGGGATTCTCTGATGATTCTATGATCTTCTACTTACATTAGATTGAATGTCAGTTCTTTTTGTATCCACAGCTCCCCCAAACACGGCAGCATGCCACGAGCACAGCGTGTGTCCCTAAAAGCTTCCATCCCGTCATCACGATGTGGCCCCAGAAAAAAAAGGAGGAAAAGGGAGACAAAACAAAGCCCTTTGGCTTCCTGCCATCTACACTCTTATAAACCCTTGTTAACAGCTGTTGCCATGATCCAATCCAAGAGATGTATTAATAGCAACACTAAGAGACACATTTACTGTTGACTGCAGCTCTGTGGCAGATTTATCACCGGCTTGCTGGGGGGGAAGGCAGGAGCACCATTAAAACCCAATTGAACACAGGGACAAAGAGGCAATAGTCTATCCAGCCAACTTTTAGCTTTGCACAGTACAAATAGAAGTTAACTGCCCTGAACACGGTTGCTAACTGGTCAGAAGGCACGTTTTAGTCACCAAGGAACCGCATTGGAGCTGAGGCAGGGAGAGAGAATGGAACGATTTGCTGCTTGGACCACCACCACCATCTACAGGACAGCGAGGTGGCACCTACAGATGGATTTTCTCAGCAGCCCCACTTAGGTAAACCCTATGGCTTAACGCATCCAAAGAGAAACAGAGAAGCTTCTCGGCATGGAGCACTCGACCTGCACCTGCATAACCACAGAACCCCAGCTCCTCTCTGCCTCCCTTTTGGCTGCAGAGAAGCAACACTGCTGAGAAGCACAGTCATTGCTGCAGCAGGAGCTGTTCAACAGGAGGTGCCACATGGCCGCACTAGGGAAGAACTTCTCCAGGCACAGTTAGGAATGCCTCAGCACCAGATAGATGCTCTGCATGCAAAGTATCCCTCACCTTCACCCGGCCAAGCTTGGGAAGTGCCTGCATTGCAAGCCCTGCTCTGAAAACGGGGCGAGGGGAGCGGGAGCTGCCAGCTCACCTGATTCCACTAGGTGCAAAGCACTCGGATACTTCCCCGGTGTTGACAGGATGGATTAGCACGATTAGAGAGCAGACAGGATAAACAGATTAAATTTCACAGACACAGCTCACATGCAGCTCAAAAAGGGGGAGAGGCCCAATGAAGGCAGGTGCTTCCAGCAGACCTCAGCTCTGCTCTTAGAATCATACAATCCCAGACTGGTTTGGGTTGGAAAGGACCTTAAAGCTCATCCAGCTCCAACCTCCTGCCACGGGCAGGGACACCTTTCACTAGAGCAGGCTGCTCCAAGCCCCTGTGTCCAACCTGGCCTTGAACACTGCCAGGGATGGGGCAGCCCCAGCTTCTCTGGGCACCCTGTGCCAGCGCCTCAGCACCACAACA